GCGGCCATGGAGGTGGAGGAGGCGTTCCAGGCGGTGGGGGAGATGGGCATCTACCAGATGTACCTGTGCTTCCTGCTGGCCGTGCTGCTGCAGGTGAGTCCCCAGCCCGCCCCGGCGAGGCGGCCGGCTCTGCTCTGTGCCCGGGGCGGCGCGGGGCAGGGCGCGGAGGGCAGGGCGGCGCGCACAGGCCCGAGTCCCCAGCGCGAGGGCGCGGGCAGAGCCTCTGGGCTTCTCTTGGGCCTGCTGCCCTGGCACCTCGGGTGATGAAAAGGCTGTGGGGGGTACGTGGGCCCGGGGGCTGGTTAATAAGGGACGCACAATTACATCACCTGGAATACACTGCAAAAGCGAAAGGGAATTGTTTCCTTAACCTGTGGCGCTGTCACCTTGGAATCCAGGACACAGCCCTGAAAACTGCACACAAAAGATAGATGGAGGACGGCCTCCTTCAGCTCCTACCAACTTTTCCTGGGTTTGAGGGAGCTCCCTCTTCCAGGGTCTTCCTCTGCATAGGGTTTATGTCTGAGTTATGCTAGATCATTTAGCAGTCAAGCTAGCTTTGGGTTCAGACTTGTGTAAGTCGAATAATGCCATCCACAATGTGTGGTTAACCTTGCAGAATCGCTTCTTTGTGTAAAATTCCCAGAACCTACTTGCAGCCCAATTTGAACTTACCGGTTCCATACACTAAAGGTCACTAGGGATTAACATTGCCGGGCAAGAGTCACTCCTCTGCCAGTCTAAAGGGCCCGTGTGCCATCAGTTGCTTCTTTCATTATGTGAAAGACATTCCATTCAGAGTTCTTTGTGAGTGTCTCCCCCTTATATGTAATATATGAGCCTCTCCTTTATTTCTGTAGTGCATTCTTTGAATGAGTGTATGGCATATTCTTAGGGCAGGGGTTCAGTAGTGAACAAATCTGATTCCTGTTCTCAGGAGGCTTGTGTTCTAATGGCAGTGGGGTGGGGCGGCCCACAGTTAAAAAGTTAGTTAATGTCTGTGGGAAGTAGAGGGTGGTCTTGGGTAAAACCACGGGTTCGCAAGTTCTCTAAACCTTGCATAAGGCGGGGGCTCAATAGGAAGTCTAGGGGTAAAGGGTAACATAGATTATCTTTGTTCCACTAAAATATTTGAAAATTCAGTTGATTTCATTGCCAGCCAGAAAAATGGCTCAAATGATGGGCTGGTATATGAGACAGTTCTTCCTCTTAACAGAGCAACTGTTCCGCTCATAAATAAAGCAGTATTCTGAAATTCTTTTAGGCTCGTTGTTTTAGGTTTAAATGTATTTTCTCCGTGGAAGAAAAATGTTTATGCTAAACCATAAGAGTTTCTAATACAGAGAACACAGAATTGCAGTTATGATGTCTGATCTTCATGTATAGTGGTTTCTTGGTCTCTAACCAACAAGTCCAGGAACATAGAACCTTACTGAATAGTCCCACCTCACCACCTCCCTCTTCTTGCCTTCCACTTCCTGTGTCATTTCGTTCTCCCTTACCTAGAGAGGTAGACTTGGAATAAGTCTGTCTTGAGTGGAGTGTAGTATTGATAAGGATGGTGTTCTGGGTCAGGACCTGTTAGGTTTCTTTACTTGCTTTTGTTTATTGTTGACTCATTTGGTTTGAGTTTGCTACCAAAGCCCATGACAAGATTGTTCCCTCAGCTTTGGCTGACACATGACCAGTATTCTTACAGAGCAGGTCTCAGAGTGACACTGGTCATACTCGCCCGTTTGTCTTGGAGATGTGGACTGGGGAGGTGCCCGTTCCTGTACCAGTGGAGGAGTCCAGGCAAGGGTGATGCCTTCACAGCTCGGATTTCCCTGTCCCATTGAGATGCATGACGCAGGTGGTTGTAGGGCCCCTAGAGCTATCCTGGGAGAATGGAGCTCTCCACAGACCTCCACGTTGTGTCTGGTTGGAAGTGTTCTTGGAGAGCTGGTCTATGAGTAGGAGTGCTGGGTGACTATACACAGTTGTATGAGGGATGATAGGATGATTTCATGTTTCTTGGGGTCCTTCCTCTAACAGAGGATAAGTAAAAGGTCCCTTTCACAAAGTTTGCTTAAATAGAAAGAGTGATTATTTGCTTTTACATCAAGGAACTTGTCTTACCATTGCCTGGGGAAGGCGCAGACCATTTCCACAGTGACGCTGCTAGAGAGAAGGGTCCATGGCTTTAGCCCTTTCTGTACCTGTGATAATGGTTTACCCCAGAGAAAAGGCATGGGAATGGTGGGATGCAGTTGGAAACTTCATAGACCCTTTTGTTTTCCTCCTTCAGGACCATTGCTATTATTTTAAAAAATGGTTTTTAATTTTCTGTACTTCAGATATATCCAGGTTCAAACTAAGAGAATAGCTGGGTGTGGTGGCGCATGCCTGTCATCCCAGCACTTGGGAGGCTGAGGCTGGGGGATCAGTGCAATTTCGAGGCCAGCCTGGGCTACATAGTGAGCTCAAGTCCGGTCTGATCTGCATAGTGAGAACCTCTGTCAAAAAGACAAAAACAACAACAACAAAGACACAACAAACTAAGAAAATAAAACTATATATCCAAATCAACTCTGAAGGTCTTAGGTCAACTGATTTTTTGAATTACCCATCCAGTCGAGTAGATCATCAAAGAATTACTTCACTCTCTGTTTCCTTTGCTAGGAGACTTGCCTTCACACTCCTTGCAAATACAACCTTGAATCTATATTGTTCACCTTTCAGAGATATAGAGAATAGATGAGGATTTTGCCAATTCTCTGTGGGATGATAGGATGCAAATGGTTTAATGACAAAGATATGTGTTCTTAATGTACATGAAAGAAAGTTAAAGAGAAAGGATTACTTTATGTAAAAGTAGTTGACTTTTGAATAAGCAATGAGATTTACAGTTTTACAGTTATAAAAATTCCTATAAACATCAAAATGTATTTGCCTTTCCCAAGGTCAGAGCTACTCGTGGCACTGTATTTAAATATAAATAATTCCGCAGAGCTTCTGACTCGTGGTCTTTCCCAGTGGTATTTAAGGGCTGATGCCCATTGTTATTGTTTGTGTATATATGTGCTTGCTTGCCAGGCTGTCTGGATGAGGCAGGTTGAAATAAAATTCTTGCTTCTTGCTTCTATTAGACATAAAACAAAAATGGACCCTGCTTCTTTGCCTGAAGCCAGAGGCTCCAACCTTTTCATTTTCCCAAGGTTATAGTATAATTTGCACAGAATTTAAAATATCCATTAACCAACAAGACATGTAGCTTGTAACAAGTATTAGTTTCGCCAGCAAAACTGTGATGCTGTGCTGTGAACCTCCTGTTGAGGCATAGTATTGAGGTGTTCAGGAAGGCATTACTGTTATGTAACTTCATTTTTCAGATCCTAGAACTACCAAAGCATTAATGGTATCTGTGCAATAAACATCTTTTCATAGCACTTTAGAAAGCAGACTGAGTGAACAAGTATTTTATAGAAGAGGAAACTGTCAGAGCCAACACAGGAAAGGTTAGGGTTTGTTCACTTACGTGGTCATCAAGAACAGGCATACTAATGTGACTGTAAAATACCATTTCCCACTTATTATATTAGCAAACTCCAGAAGTATGAGTATGATAAAAATGAGAAATTTAGAGAACAACTAGGCATCATCTAGTTAATTGAAAACCCAGCAGTGAACTCCTGGGTACACAGCTTATAGTATATCTTGGACCTGTGTATAAGGATACAATAATTATAGACTCTTTGTAATAACACAAATTAGAAACTACCTGAATGGCTTTTAAAAGTGAATAGATAAAGTGTGAGATAAATTTGGTAGAACTTCATTAAAGTGAATGAATTGAATCTGTATACAAACGTAGATGAATCTCTAAAGCACGTGTTAAATGAAACAAGAAAGCATGGAAAATACAGTATAAATTTGAAATGTTGAAATATTAAGTGTTTTTAGTACAGACTTTAAAAACACTTAAAACCTCACTGTGCGTGGTTTGTGAGCATCAGCACATGAAGTGGAGTAAGGAGACTGGATGGCCTCTTGGGAAGGAGGGCTAGATCGAGCTGTAGGTAGGATACAAAAGAGATCTGCTGTATTGTATTTTTAAAATCTGAAGCAAATATGATCATTTTTATGATTTATTCTTATTTTATTAATTTTGCTTTTCCAAGCCACAAAATTGGTAAAGACAAGAAGATGGATGTATGTGGAGAGAATGCTTCCGTTTGTGCAGTAGGAACCATGGTTCATTCTTTTTGTTGATATTCCTTTAATCAGTGATGGCTACGAGTTGTGGTCACTTAACACCACATGGGACAGAGTGGGGTAGAGTGTGTTTTGTGCAAGGTGCAGAGCACTGTTCCAGTCTGCCTCCCTCCCTGCTGTATTTGTCACCATGTCCCTCCCTCCATGGGCGAGTAATGGGAAGGTTTCCTTTCGATGAAATATGGCTGCAAAGGTAGCACCAGTGAAGACCTTATTGTACCACAGTTGTTAAGATCAGCCCTCAGCACTACCAGGGCTTCAGCCAGGATGAGAACCTGTGGCATTAATGAGAGCTGCTCCCTGGTGACCTCAAGCCAGGTGACCAGCTACCGGGATTCTGTGCTGGTTTGAACCAATTTCTGCTGCTTGCAGTTCTACCCTCATAGTTGAGTTGAACTCAGGCAGTGGCCTGGAGCGCGAGTCTGTTGAGTCTACAACGAACTGGAGCGTCTTTGCCTGCATTTCTTCTGCCATTTATGTGGGTGGGGCTCTGCGGTCCAAAGACCAAAGCCACACTTGGTTTCAGGAAGTTATTGTCTTTAGGCAGACACTGCCCCCTGGTGTAAAGCGGGGAAGTTGCACATCTGTCTGATCTTCCCAGGACGTTGGGTGGCTGTGGAGATAATTGTAAGAGACCTCTACAAGGTGGAGAGTGCCCCTTAGGGCCTAGTACTTCTCAGGAATTGGGGCATTCTTTGAAAGCGGGCGTTCTTTCCTGATACTTGTGCAGCACCCAAAACTGCAGGAGCATGTACCCAGACAGAGAAGGTATTACATCCCCCAGCAGCACAAAGGAAGTCGTTGCAGTTGTGAAAACAGGCAAGGTGAACAGGGCAGAAAAAGTACTAGGCTTGAGTGATGCACTGCTCTGATGCAAGATATCTGAGTGGGCTTAGGCGAATGACCCCTTAGCCTTTGTTGTGCACTAGGAAATGGCTGGATCATGAAAGTTGAACTCATTTTGCAAGACTGAAGTTTCTTAAAGTTTCTCAGTGCCCAGTAGTGAATTGCATAATTACTTGACTGAGTCTTTCCCAATACTCGCTTGGTTCACCACTGCAGTTAAAGGGTTGTCTTAAAGGAAAGAGGTCATCAAGTCTGACAACACATGGCTACACAGTCTCCTCTCTG